TTACGGCTGCATAAAGCAATATTTTAAAAAATCTACTGTATTGAATGGATATAAATATTATGATGAAATAATTTTGTGTGGAAGAAAATACAGTTTACGAGCTAAGACCCTTTAAATGAATGTCCATTTTTTGTATGTACTGTAGCCTGTATCTCAGATAGAAGTTCTAATTTTCTTGAACAAACTAGCAAAATTATACATTGAAAGCATTTGCAAGCACCTTTCCCAGACCCACACACACTTGATTCAGCTGTGTGCACATATACCATGAGTTTAATAACAAATGATCAGAGCTTATAATTAACATAGACAGCTCCCTAATTTGCACACAAAATCAGCATAGTTCTTCAAACTAAAAAGGTAGCTTGTTGTATGCATTGATCACAGTTGGAACCATGTTTGTCAGTGGGAATTCAGTGTATCCGAGTGAACGCCATAGTCCTGAGAGGTATCTTAACTTTTTCAATAGGAAACAAAAGAAAAAAATGTTCTTCAGTTCTCAGAATAAACCTGTTTTCACTTTGGGAATTCTTTGAAGAATGTTTTGGCAATCTCATTTGTATTAATCAGCTCTGTAAGTAATGGGAGGCATGCCCTTTAGTCCTCCTGCTGCTTTGTTCAGCAAGATGATAGTCATCAAAAGTAGTTGCGTTTGGATAGTAAGTGTGGGAGGCCACATGGGACATCTTGAATACTAGCATCTACTAACCTCCTCATTCACTATAATATTTGTAAAGAAATGACAAGAAATAGATAGTGCTTTGTTTTCATACACTTGCAATGTGTATCTTAGAATTGTGCATAAATCACTGCCCCTTGCACGCTGGCAGCTCACCTTGAGATGCTGCTGTGGAACTGCAGAAGGGGGACCTTCCTCACCAGGGGACTCAAAGCAAATTGCTATTTGTGGTGATGTACAGGACCATTTGCAGATGACAAAAGCAGACAATTACTTTCTTTACTCATCTGGGAGCCATATACCTTCAGGACTAAACAGCAATGTGAAAAGTGCTCACTTGCTGATGGGCAGACTGTGTTTTATCCATACCTGGCTCACTGCTTGCTTTTCGCGACACCTTGGGGGCTGCAACATGGAGACTGGGACACATGTTCCTACTTTAATGGTGCTTTAAATGTGCTTTAAATGACACAGAGGAGCCAAGATTGCTAAGATGAAATCATTCTCCCAGGGCAACATCCTTGCAATTCTGCTTCAGCCCTCTCAGTATTCAAGTGGTTGATATCAGAAGTCTTTTATATTTAAGGGCTCTTTTCTGCCCCCTTTATTATTTCTTCATCCTTCTGCTTCCAAGTACACATCTAAGCAGTAGAGATGAGTATGAACACCAGCATTCACTTCCAAAATTTCACGAAGATCAGAGAATGTGTTAATCTCAACTCCACAACTCTTTTTAGGACCAGCCTAAAATTTTGATTCAAAAACCAAATCTATTTGGATTTCAAGTTGGTTCAAATTCATAGTTTTTTCTTAACATAGCCTCAGGGTAATACACACTCTGCCGAATGCACCTGCATGTACCCTTTATGACTGTAGTTTATAATATTATGTCCCTTGGATTTTCTATAATCATTTCAGAATAGATCACTGCATTGGAAGACAAGTTCAACATGCAAAAAAATAGCTATGGTTTTGGAAGCATGGGTGAACTACTGTCCTTTCTGATTGCCATAGTTTGTTTGCTTGTTTATTTCTCAGTGACTCAGTTTCTCAGTTTATTTCTCAGTTTCTCATAAAATTTTGATATAAATTCCATTCTGGGTCTACCATTTTCTGACATTAATAGCATTTTCATCCATCATCAAAGTGCTCTCGCCTACAACATTCCCATCTCTAGCTTTTCTTTGATTCTGTCACTTTGCCAAAAAATGTATTAGTATGTATGCATCTGTCATATGGAGAAGACCCAGGGGCCCATTCCTATGCGTTGTCTCATTGGATTGCTCCTGGATTATGTACTACCAAATTTCAGGAAGGAACTCAATCTACTAATTAGTGAATTGCTGATATAGATGGCATAACTCTCAATTATATTATTGCTGTTGATTTTTATCAATTTCATGATGCAAAATAGATATATTCATACACGATTTTAAGTGATAAACCTAATGTGATTCTCAGTTATTTTTTTGCTGCCACTGACTTCTTAAAACATGTGTCCAATCCTCAGTAGCCTACATTAGCCTGTCTTAGGATATACACACCTGTTACAATATTCACAATATTCCAACACTCTTAAAATTACTACAGTTACTAGACCTGTGGCCTTGTAAAGGAGAAACGTCTCACAGACTGAGAAACTGCACAATTCACCTTCCAGTGATAGACTCCCAACAACACGTTGGGAGCGCTGTGGAGGCAACAGACAGGAGTAATAACAGAGATTTATTACTGAGAAAAGACTTTCGTGACCTAAAAGGACAGACGCCCTCATGTTCAGAGAACTGTTTAGCAAGGAAGTCAACCATTCTGTAGATACAACAGGCTGTTCTACCACAGCCTCACAGGTACAAAGACGCTCTCAGTCTTCATCCTTCCACCAGCAGCCTGATCAGTGATGGGTTGCATTTGGTTAAATGTTAGAATATCTTTCTCCAGATTATCTTTGCCTGCTTGTCTCCCAGCAAAATACTGCTATTTCTGATCAAGCACTCTTTCTTCTTAAACTTTTCTGTAGATAAACTATTTAGTGTTTCCTCATCTCATTACTATTTAAGATGTAAGACTTTTAAAAAATAATCAGTACCTTAGAAAATTTCAAGCTCTGTTGTTATGGTAATATTATTAAGATTAGTATTTTTATTACCATAATTCCCAGATTTTACAAGGAGAAAAGTAATGAGTAATAAAATAGTACAATTGAATCATTTAAATCCATAAAAGTTTTCAGACTGTATGAAAACTACTGAATGAAGCCGTGATATGAAAGATAATATCTGCCTGTTCGTAAGCCTTCAATAATCTATAAGTATAGAGGCACTGAAAATAGGATGTTGAATGTGAAAAGAATTTTCTTTTCTCTATTAATTTTTTTAGGACTGTGACAACAGTTCAGCAAGAGAGGGAGTTCTCAGTCTTGGCAGCAAAGGAAATATTGGCTCATCTATCAATGCTCTGGATGATCTTTGGTGACATCATATATAATCTCATGACATGACCAAAAACAGCAAAAGTTATAGAAAATTATATAAAGTTATTTTTGCCCCTGTCTTGTGGAAAAAATACCAGGAGTTCAGTCCACCTCAGTCATTCTTTGCTATTTGGAGCCAAGTCCCCAGAGAAACAAGTCTTGAGGTATTTCTAGCACTTTCTCTTAAATTTCCCCTGTTATTAGTCCCAGCTGGTGGTTTTCCTCCCCATGTCTGCAATATAAGCTGGCAGAAGCTCACAAAATACTTTACTGGGTATCCTTATCTCCCAGATGGCTCAGCAGAAGTGCTCCTCACCTCATGAGGTTGAAGATTTTGATTCATCTCTCGTGCCCGCCTGAACAGCAGGAATGTTTTTACAAGGCCTAGAGATATTCAGCTGTGGTGACATATGCAGGCAAGGAATGCAGGTTGTTCACATCAATAAGTGTATGTTTAATTAAGAATTAACATATTGAGAAACTATACTTTCATCTTTGTCAACTTTGGACATAATTCATTATTTTCTCCATCAGTTACCTCTTACCAATCTTTTCCTAGGACAGAACATTCATTATATTCTCCTCACACAAGAGAAGTGTTTACACTGTCCTTTTGCTAGCAGCAAAATGCTTTATCCACCAGCTGAATTGCTGTACCCTTTATAATTGCTCAGCCTAATTAACACTCCAGTAAATTACACACCTGCTCTACCTTCCCATCCCTGCACTCCTGCTCTTCTGCATTGATGCTGTTGTTAAAAATGTTAAAATATTTCTGAGCTGTCTGAGCTTTCCTGGAGACCAGAGCTCGCTGAGTGCTGTGCTTTTCCATGAAGAAAGAGGAAGATGCAGGCAGGCTCAGAACTCTGTGACACTGACTATTTTTAGAGTCCCCTTTTTCTGAGAAACTTGTTTCCCATGAGAAATGAATCCTCCAGGGAAAAAAAAGTCGTTTCCACCTCATTTGTTAATATAAAATATCTTTGCTTTTGGCTTCCTGCTACGGAGCACAGAACTGCTGCATCTTGTTAATTTTGCAGTATCACTAAATGACACTGAGATTTATCTAGAAGGAAACCAAATTTAGTCTTATTTTATTGTAGCAAAAGTTATATGAAAAAAGAGCATAAAAAGAAATAAAAAATGTTTTGCTCTTGGAAAGATTTGTTCTCTGAAACCAACGAATTTTCTACGCAAAAGTTAATCAACGCACTGACCTTAGGACACAGCCAAAGATGGTGATGCAGACATTCAGAAAGGAAATTAAATCCTCTACAAAACTGAAACGTCACTTCAAAAGAGTAAGCAAAAGACCAGAATATAAGAAAAACAGAGTTAGCGTTACTGGACCTGTAAAACTCTGCAAGAACAAGACCTTCAGGCTGCTGTTGGAAGCCATAAATTTAAATTATGGGTATGTTCCTTTGTCTTTAATATCTTCCCTGTAACAGTGGACACCCTGGGATCATCATCCCCCTGCGACGTGTATTCATATTGACTGGGCTGGACTGTGCACACAGAGTGACTGTGAGCAGAGCTATTTCTACCTTCATTTAAAACAACAGACTGGAGCCAGACTGCCTCTGGCTGTACGGCTGAGTCGTCACGGTAAGGCTGGAGATGCACACGGTGTGATACAGGATGTGATATCTCCAAAAAAAACTGCCAGTACCAAGGATATCAGTCAAGTATATCCTGACTGAGTAGGAGTTGCTAGGGATATAGCATCAATATTTAAACAGTAGTACAGGCAAAAGGATAGGTTAAAGAAAGGTCAGGGTATTGAAACTTCAGATTGAGATACAAAATTAGCAAACAGTATAGCTTTCTAGCTTTGAAAGGAAAACTCACCATTTCACCAAAGATACTTCTAGAGGACATGCTGTTAGCATCAATGATGTTTGCAACAAGAAGTTTTCTGGGGTAACTGCCAGGCAAAGAAGTAGCTGAAATAGATAGTATGAAAATGCCTGAGCACGTTTTGACAAGACTACATTCTAGTGGGGGGGAAAAAAAGAAGAAAGTGATTCTAACTGGAAAGACAGCACAACAAAACCAAAAATCTGTCATGAAACAGAACTGCCATCCTCTTGCAGCTCCAGAACTGTCACAGATTCACAGTGTGAATGCGGCCAACCAAATTTTCACCAGGACAAAAATTTCAGGACAAAATTTTCACCAGTGCCCAAAAATGTTGCTGCCTCAATATGTGGGTCTATCAGGTCTTGCTTGAAATCCTGTCTTTATTTCTGCTACAATGTACACTGTTTTACAGAAACATCCACAAGAATAAGTCCCTGCCAATCTCTTTGTTTTTGAGCTAGCAGAACCCATATGAACATAACTGCAATAACACAGAGCACCATGGTTCTGCCAAAATGATGAGAATTGAATTTTGCTAAAAAGTCAAAAGACTTGAAGCAGGGACTGATATCTGAATGGTAGTGCTGTGTTTCTGTTGTCAGGAAAGCCCAGTTCAGAGTCTGCCAGGGGGATTTTGCTGCTTTTATCATGACACTTCAGCTATCCGGAGCAGGCCAGGCACCAGAAGCCAACCATACTAAAAAAAAATGAGTTAAGCAAGAGTCTGTAAAAGGCAATGAAGCTGTAATTCATGCCAGCTCCAGCAGCTGCTCCATGCTGATACCTGTCTGTGCAGCCTGGCCATCTGGGTGACAATGGCAGATGCGCTCCCACCTTGGTATCGTCATCACGGTACTCAGATGACCTACTGGAATTAAAAGAAATTGAAAATTCGTGAAATATCAGAACATTTTTTTCCATAGAAACATCACACTGTCTTAAAAAAAAGAGCAGGGGCACAGAGTGAGGCTTGCATCTGCAGATCTATGGTGTGCTTCACAATGTTTGGGGCTTTTCTTGCATGGTTAAAGCTCCAGAAACTGAAGTACTGGTACGAAAGCCAATGTAAACTGGAACAAAATAAGAAAGAAATTTAGAACATGCTTTCACTTTGAAAATTATTCACTTAGAAATATTTTCCTGTAAGTAGCTTTCACTGTGGAATGAAAGTTGACTTAAAAATTGAGGAACAAAATTCCTCATTTAAGATAATCTTCAAATATTTTAGAAATTCAAAGTTTTATAAAAACTATGAGTGAAGAAAATTGTCGAAACGGGTCTTTTCTTTTGATGGATATTAGAACAAATATAGATAAACCAATGTTTTTTGTTTAAATAGTTTCAGAAAAATACCCATCCAGGTGTGATAGTCATGGAAAAGATTACCAATTATGTCTTACTGAATAAGTCTGATTGCATAGAGGTGGCACTTTGCTATCAGTTTCTCCAAAATCAACATCTAGAATTATTTGCATTGAAAAACAGCTGAACTCTGATATTAGGTATCAGCAATAGAAGTGGTCCTGTACAAGCTCTTTAAAAAAAGCGAAATATTTTTCTGCATTCAGACTCAGTGCATACTGTTCTGTAACTCCTGCAGTGGGAGATTAGTAGTACGACCAAAAAAAAATCAGTCACAAATTATACAGCATTTGCCTTCTTTTCTTTCCCTACAAGATTGCATTTCCATAATTCTCTCTGACCCCATTATCATCTTCTACTTTCCTATTCCTTCCAGAGCTGAAACATCTGAACAGTCCTAGTATTTCCTGCCTTGCACTTCCTATGCCCCATCCCACTGTACACAATTGCTTCTGGATGTTTTTGCTTTAACATAACCACATATCAGTAATTCTTGTTCACACTCTGAAATTTTTAGATACAATGCTTAAGTGTCCATGGATATTTACACACACATTATGCAATTAATACAAGATGTAGAGTGTTTCTTAAGATAGGTTATGGCTTGAGAATGAGAAGGATGATCATCTCGTGTCAAGCATTGTTGGTCTTATGTTTCTCTCTGGACCAAAGAGAGGATGGTGCCCCCACAAAAGCACAAATGCTTCTGGGTATTTCATGCATTTGGTGAATTCAACAGTATTTGGAACCCATTTCAGATATTAGCTGACAAAACGATCCATCAGTTAATCTCATTCTGGCAAGTCCTTTCATTACTGAACTGGAATGCATACAGCATGAATAATAGAAATGACCCATTAAATCATCTCCAGCAATTTTCTGCAGCTATCAGACATATGCAGCTTGATTTTCCTCTGACTTATCCCTCATTCAAAAAGATGAATCTCAGTGATTTCAGCATATTAATCTTGATTAGCCCTCATTAACTTACCACATATTGTATTTATTTTAATATATTGAGCCTCTTCAAAACACAGACAAAAAGCAGAGAGAAGATTCAAACCGCCCCTTGGAGGTGGGGCTGCCTCCATGTTCTTTAGTAGAAGCTCCAAAAAATCTGCCTTCCTGGGCTGTACTGGCAGATTTTCATTCATAGACCAAAATAGGGATTTAGACATCTAGCTCACATGTGTAAACCTACACAGAGATGCCTAAATATAATAGTCACTATTTTACACTGAACTGGGCACACACTGCAGTCTGGCTTTGCACACAGCAGGGATGGATCCTCCTTTCGTAAGAAGTAGAAGAGCTTCACATAGTGTGTCTCCACGTATCTCCACAAGCTCACTGAAGTTTGTTTAATGGTAACAAAGGCCCACAGAGCTGCTCTCAAATGTGAAGGAATTGACTTAATTCAGCGTCGCAGTTTGTTGTTTCCTCAGAACGGTGCCCCAGGCTGTAATGCAATCATTGCTGCTGTACTAAATTTCAAGTTAGATCTTCTATCGACAAAAGACAAGGAGTATCATGCAGAGCAGCATGAAGCTAAATTTAGTGTGGATTAATTTTATCAACAAACACGCTGTAAATCTTTTCTTTCTTTTTTTTTTTTTAATAATATTTTTGCAAACATGTAAAGCGCAGATAAAATCAAACCGTGTATCTCTTTGTGTCCAAAGAGAAAGTAAGGGCAAAATTCGATGGACCACAGAGAGACGTCCATTGGCATTTTTCTTTTGACTCCCAGCAGCAATAATTTCCTCCAAGTAGCTTGACTATTACAGAGAAGAATGACTGCACAGTACCACAAAGCTGATGGAAACTCAAGCAAATCTGTCTGGGAAATCTGCCTGCATCAGGCTTGCAGCAATCCAATCTACAACTTTCTGTATAACCCATTTTTATGCCAGGCTCTGTAAGAGCAGACTCAGGAAGATTTCCCAAGTCTGAATCTTGAGAACAGCAGAGTGGCCATCCTATTTATAGATATTGCCTCAAAGTAACAGTGTACTGCCCAGCAGCATCTGTGCCCAAGGAGTTTTGGTCAGGCAAGCAATGATGTGATTGCTGGCACTGGAAAGATGAGCCATTGCCCAGGTTTTAGGAACATATCACACTCTATTCAGAAGGATTTGTAGGCTAAACTAGAAATGTGCACCACATCTTCCTGGCACGCAGTGCAGTTTGGTGTATTTTTCTCCATTCCATTCATACAAAGCAAGAACTTGTATCTGGGATACTGTGTCTGAAGAGATTAATACCTTTTAATTTAATGTAGGGGAACAGTTCCATTCTCACGGGATTCATGGTTCAGCAGCAAATGCCTGGTAACCCTAATTTAAAAAAAGCTGTCTTAAAGCAACCACACAACTTCATGCTGTCATTTTAAATGATAGAGCAATTTCAAACATTAAGCACAGCACCGAAGGGTTTTAGTAGAAAATTGTAATGGGGGTCAAGTGGTTTCATTTCAAGATTCGCCCTGCATTAATTTATCTGAACTTTCTTATTTTCGTACAACTTGTAAAACTTCTGAGGCCATGTAGTTCGCAGCAGTGGGTATTACTGGATAATTTGATGCAGTTAATAGAATAATAGAAGCGAATTGTTTCCTAGAAAAGAGGGAGCAAAATGCCAGTTATATTAACAAGAAATACCACCAACTAAAAAGGCTATCACAAGTGGCATCTCCACTTTATTATATCAAAACAAAAATCTCCTTTAAAACCCATCCTGACAAAACCTTGTGCATTTCATAGAATCATAGAATCATCTGAGTTGGAAGGGACCCTTAGAGGTCATCTCATCCAACGCCCTGCAATGAACAGGAATATCTCCAGGCATCCCAAAAGGACATCATCATCCTCTAGCGTTAACTGCAGTGGTCATAAACCAAGGAAATAACCTTCCTGGAACACCCATCCACATTTGGCAGAAGGGTGAAACGGCAGTGAAGGGATCAAATGAGTCAGTAGAGAGGGTGAGATGGGAACCCTGTGTGGGGCTGAGCAGCTCTGGCTTTGCATGGTCAGTGCCCTTGGCCATGAAGCATGACAAAAACAGGGGGTTGAATCTGCATGGAGCACTCACAGCCCCTCCATTCACCTGCACTCCTCTCTTTACATTTTTTCTCTCCTTCATCACTTGGAGAATTATTGGGCATATAAAGTCTTGGTTCTGCATTCTGTTTTTTTTTATTATTTTTTTCTGTTAACCCCAAAGTAAGACTGCTGTCACATTCCTTCTTCACACAGCATTCTGAATTGCTTGGAGCTGCAGGCTGTAGAAGCTTTCCCAGCCTTGATGGGCACAGTTCCAAGTCTTTATTCCTTGATTTTCTGTGAAAATTAACAGAGCAGCTTTCTTGTCCTGTTCACCCATAGAAGTGACTTATGTATGAGAACTATCTGCTTATTTCAGCAGTCAGACAGCTTGCTTTGTTAGTGCAGAGACATACCCTGTATAGGATTTTTCTTCCTGCTGTGCTTTATTTCTGAATCCAAGGGGATTATTAAAAAGGAGGAGCAAAAAAAAAAGATCAGGTGCGCTTTCATCCACCTTCCCAAATGGTGCCACTTCTCATCAGAAAGCAGCAAACATTTCCTGGAAAATCAGTCTTTATGGCTCCCCTGAATCTTTGATCAAAGGTCTCAGAAATAAATTGATTCTGTGAACATCCATCTATTTGACGTGCAAATTGTGCACTTAAAAAAAACCTAAAATTAAGCCCTATACTTGTCAGTTCAATATAACACTTCATTCTTTCCTGATCCATTTGAAACCACCTTGAATTTGACACAACACATCTGAATTTACTTAAATCCTACATTCAGTTGGTGTGGTAGCATGGTAGGTTAATGACATTGTAATTAAAAAAATACACTTCAGTTTCTCCAGGAATTAATTGGATTTTAATCCTTAACTTTACTTAATTAAATGACTATTTCTGAGCAACTGTTTAATTTGTTTTGGAAATTTTTTGCATACGTGGAAAGGAATACATTTTAAACTGTTCTCTTTTTTTCAATGTATTTTCCATTCCTGATATATCCCACTCAAACTTCAGCATTTACCTCTGTTTATATCCAGGACCCAGCTCGCCCACAAGTTATCCCAGCTGATACCCTGAAAAAGCTGAAAGAGCTGAGTGGAAAGGCAAGTGGACTGGAGACACCAGTTGCAATTGCAGGACACTCAGTCCTGGCCCTTCTGGCTATCTCTATGGGATCCATTTTATGCCTGGGACAGCACTGACTCGAGTCCCCAGGAATGGGTGTTAAACTTGGCCAGTAGCATTTTGTTTCAGCTGCAGGATCTGAACTGAATAAAATGAAAAATCCTTTCCATAGAGCTCCAGTATTCTTGCCTGGAGCAAAGCCCCTTCCCTTTATTTTTAAAGATGCCAGTTTCTTCAAGTGTCTTAGAGCATTTTTAGGAGAATTTTCCATTAAAAATTTTAAAAGCAGCAATAAATGTTGTCCTCAAAACTAATCCCATCAATGA